CTCCTCGTGTGGCCCCTCCAGACCCTTCCCCCTCCTCATGTCCCTCCTTAGGATGCTCAATCTGGTCTTCACTCCTTTTCTCTCACTGGGGAATAAACTCATCCCAAACCACTGCACCAGCATTTTCTGTCCAAGCAGGAGTAACTTCTCCCCTCATCTCCACGACCCCAATGTGTCTCCTGTCACCTCCCCTGGCTCCTGCCCTTGTTTTCCATTCCCAGCCATGGATAACACCACACACAGCCCTTATCTCAGAAGGCCTGTTTGATTGAAGGGATCCCTTCTGATTCCTCTATAGATTAAACAGTATTTCAAATGTTTAATCTAATGGTTTCACTTGGAGTCCATCCCCCAGCTCAGCCCTGCCCTGCCTGCCCTCCTCCTGCAGCAGCACTAATGAGCGTGCCAAGGAGACAATCAATGGAATATTGTCCTTAATGCATCAGCCACATCACAACAGGCTTTATCATTCCCAGGGTCAACAGGGAAGGCAATACCTGCTATTAATCAATGACAGCTCCAGCCTGAACTTCTCTGCCTGTAAATACCTCATCTAGCTCCTCTTTGGGGGAAGAGGTATTAAAAAAAAAAAAGAAATCAGGATTTATCTACTCATTTTATGGCTATCACTCAGAGTTACAAGGGGCTAAATCCTTGAGTCTTCACCCAAATGAAGCCAAATCCCTGGGAATTGTGCCTTGATCAGGAAATCTGAATTTGGCTGTGGCAGCTGTCAGCTCCAGGATACTGATCTCTGCTTGTACTCCCAGTACTGAACTACTTGTGCTTTCAGTACAAACTGGTATTTTGGTATTTAAATGAGTTTAAATGCCAGCCTGGCTTTGATCATCACCGTGCAGGGAATGTGTGAATGTGAGGAGCAGAAACACAGGGACTGTGGTGGGATACACTGGATAGAGAGAGCCAGGACCAGCCACTCTGAAAACAGCCAGCCCAGTGTTTTAAATGTAAGGTTCAGTAAGCAGAGTGGTTGGGGATGGGGCAGGGAGAAGGCAGGAACTGAACCTCATGGAAAATCCAGGAGAGAAAACCTCCCTGGCCTCCAACACCGACTGAAGTGCTCGTTAACTAACGAGCAAAAGCCCAAGACAGCTAAAGGGCACACAGAGAAAGCCATGACTGCAGCTGGGGAGGCAATCTGTTCCCAAATCACATGAACACTGAACAGAACCCTCCACAATTCATCCTTTTGGTGCCTTTTGGATCATCTCCTCCCCACACTCCTCCCGTCAGCCGGACCCCACGAACCCCCCGGGACAGGCCCCCCCAGGAGTTACCTGGCGTGCATCTCCCACAGCTTGGTGCCCATCCGCTGGTCCCACACGCACACCAGGCCCTCTTCCCCTCCACTGACGATTTTCCAGTCGTCCATCTGCACTGCAGACACGCCCAGCTGGTGGGCGTAGAGGGAGCACACGGACTGGCCCCCGCGCAGGTCGAACACCCTGACCCTAAAGCAAAGCCAGGGAGAACAAACAGGCATAAAAACCAGCTGTGGACGTGCAGCCTTGTGGGTTCTGAGAGCACGGGGATCTTTGGGGTCGTGAAAATGTTATCTGGGCCAGCAGCAGCAGCCCCGTGGCCACTGCAGGGCTGGAAAACCAGTTCGGTCCATATTTTTCACTGCTGAGTTTTTACCTCGGACTTCTGGTTATCAGAGGGTTTTTCAGGCAGACTTCTCCCACCATACAGCACTTCCCTGACTCTTTACAAGTCCTAGGACCTAAAGAGGGAGTCTTTACAGTTCCTAAGACCCCAACTCTGAGGTCCTCAGCACAGGGAGGACGTGGAGCTGCTGGAGAGAGTCCAGAGGAGGCCCCGGAGATGCTGCCAGGGCTGGAGCCCCTCTGCTCTGGAGCCAGGCTGGGAGAGCTGGGGGGGTTCACCTGGAGAAGAGAAGGCTCCAAGGAGAGCTGAGAGCCCCTTGCAGGGCCTAAAGGGGCTCCAGGAGAGCTGGAGAGGGACTGGGGACAAGGGATGGAGGGACAGGACACAGGGAATGGCTTCCCACTGCCAGAGGGCAGGGATAGATGGGATACTGGGAAAGAATTCCTGGCTGTAAGGGTGGGGAGGCCCTGGCACAGGTTGCCCAAAGAAGCTGTGGCTGCCCCATCCCTGAAAATGTTCCAAAAAAGGCTGGATGGGGCTTGGAGCAACCTGGGCTAGTGGGAGGTGTCCCTGCCCATGGCAGGGGTGGGACTGGATGAGCTTTAAGGTCCCTTCCTACCCAAACCATCCTGTGATTCTCTGAGCCCATGATCCAAAATATAAGTGCAATTTGGAGAAAGCTCCTCTGTCTGTGCCTCCCAAAACATCAGCAATGCCCTGAGGCACCAAATCCTGTGTTTTGGGCACACTGCTAACACACCCTACCCCTGGTACCCAACCCACATCCACTTGAGATGAGGGATAATATTATTACCAGGATCAAGAAAACGACTGTGATTCTAAAGATTTCAGAAGACATTAAATGTGTGGCAAATTAAAACACAAGAAAAGGGAATTACATATTTATACCCTTGACTTAATCACTAATATTAAAACAAAGCCATCCACAGGCACCCAGCAACCAGTATCTCTTCTCACTTCAAAAATGCAGCCACTGACTGTGGGCAGATTTTAGGTACATCTGGTTTTCAGACATTATTGACCACTCAGACAAAGCACTTGGAAGAGAAACGTAAGGAAGACTCAGCCAGAAGAGAACTACAGGAAAAGAACTCAGGATTTCAACCACTGCAACAAAGGCCACAAAAACAGTTCAAGTTTTAAACCCAGCACATATCACAAAGGAGTATATTTTTCTGATCCTTATGTCAGGATCCAATATATCAGGATTAAGAGATGAAGCATCAGTGAATAAATAAATGCAGCAAGGAAAGGCGAAATACTGATCTCAGATTTGAAAGGAAGCCAGAGAAAGTTCCTCCCAGCTGATGGCCATCAGGAGTGAAAGCATCAGGTCCACATTAATTCCACAAAAGGCCAAAACACACTTGTTCCAACACATTAACTGTGCTTTACTCCACACCCCTGCCACGATCCTAATGGTGTTGTGCAAGTCTTTCCTTTTCCTTTCTCCAACGGAGATTGCACCGGAGGATTTTACAAACAACACATTTCAGGGACTGAAAGAAAAAGGCAACAGAACAGTCCAGAACTCCAGCAGAGCAACATCCATCTGACATGCAGCAAAACATGCTGGAACGGGGCGAGGAACACGCTCCGTGTGGCTGCACGGCCGCCCCTGGGAACAGCCCATCCCTCAGCTGGGATGGTGACAAGGACTCGCTGCCTCCAGCTCCAGCAGAGAGGAGCTTTGGCTACATGTTGGAGCAGTGCTTTGGGTGAGGATGGGGTATTTTGGAAGGGCTGCTGTCCTGCCTGTGCTCTGCACGGAAATCAAAGCTGCTCCTGTTCGGAAGGCTCAGCTGGAAGCGAAGATCTGATTGAGTCCTGCTTATTCCATTAGCGAGCGCCCGGGCTTCAGGCAGGTGTCCATCCTGGCACACCCCTGGAAGAATCACAGGCACACTTGTGCTGCTCAGATGTGCTTTGAAGGGAAGAAAGAGAAGCGTTTTGCCAATCTAATGCGATGCTGTAACACAGACCTGGCACGGCCCGGCTCCTCCTGCCTCAACAGCTGGGCTCAGTGGGAGCACTCCGGGCTCATCCCAGCCCTGGGAGCAGTGGGGAAGGTGTTCTCATGACCAGGCTTTGACCCTCCTGTTAGACTGACTCAAAATTAAGCTGCCTTGCCTCCAGGAAAGCATGGAATACATGTTTTGATCCGCGCTCCCGGCGACCGGGCTTGCCATGTGTTTGCTTTCCCAACGCCGCTCGCCAGCCCAGCTTCCAGCACGGAAAAGCAGGATCAGCACACGCTCCCTGCTGTCACATCTCTTGCCAGAGTGAAGCACAGCTCAGAAATCAAATAAATCAGTGATGCTTCAGGAGTGTTTTCGGTGGAGAGACAGATTTTACAGGTCCTACCAAAAACGTTCCCCAAGCGTTAACTTCTCAAAATCGTGGCTTTGAATAAAAGAACATCATATTCCAGTGAAACTGTGAAACTGCTGCATTTAATTCAAACTATAAGTGTTCCCACTGGCCACCAGCAGTCTGAACTGCCCTGGCAAGGTCCCTATTTAGTAGATTTGCTCCTTAATAGGGCTGTGGAGGTTCCAGTCTCATTCCACCTGTGGATGCCCAGCACCTTCATGCAGCAGCACATGAAGCACTGACCTCAGAGATACCCGTGGTCCTGCCTCCTGGATGCCACACTTGTTTGCTCAACTATTAATTCCTAACTTCTTGTTATTTTAGTGACAGCCAACCTCTTAAACTCAGTCAGTGCTTGAGCTGAAAAACCAAAAAGCTTTCTGGAGGGGAAAGGGCACAGACTCTAAAGGGAGTGAATCCCCATCCCATCAAAGGGATATGAGCTTCAGCTACTATCCTGTCACTGTGCAAGAGATCAAAATTGGAGGTAGTTTCACTGGGGTGCTTTGGAAAATCAATTATCTGCTTTTAGAGGGCAAAAAAAAGCCTCCCAAGGACTCAAGTCCACTTGTCAAACTCCAGATATTTCCCTCACCCTGAGTGCCGAGGAAGTGTGAGGTTTGCTTGCACTGCCTGTTCACTGAGAAAGGAGGGGGTGGGAAAAAAAAAAAGCTGTTTGACAAAATAATCATTTTTGCAAGCTGCTGCTCTGGCGGGACAGAGGTCTGGGATTTGGCAGAGGGAAGTGCCCGCCTCCCAATCTGATCCCACCACCACGGCACAGCACCACCTGCAGCCTGGTGCCCGGCACGGGGAAAGGAGGAGGGAAGGAAGCGGGAGCCATTAGGGACTGGCTGCCTGCCATCCCACATCTCCTTTGGAGCACTGGATCAGACCCCACCGACGACTCGCCAGGAGAAGAAAATCTAAAAATTGGACTCGGAGGGTCTTTTTAAGCACTTTAATCCTTTCGCGCTGCCTGTTCCCAGCGCGGCCGCTCCTGGCACCGGCCACTGCGCTGGGAAAATCCTGCTCCCCGAGCCAAGGAGTTAAAGAGAAAGCTGCTAATCAGCTAAATAGAAGCTGGAATCTGTTCATATGAAAGTCTCTTTTTTTTTTTTCCCTGTCACCTGAGGGACATCACAGTGTTCCCAAATACACTCTTGACATCGTTTGGCAGCCGGGCCCCTCTCATCCCCCACGATTCCTCCCCGAGGTTATTTTTTTAATATCAGAAAGTGAGCTTTTAAATGCCAAACTAATTTTGCGGGTGGTGGCGGGGAAGGGGAAGATATTCCAAGTGGTCTCGCTGGGCTGTGCACCAACTGTGTCCACCAAATGGCTGGAAAAGCAAAGTCTTCCCAGGGAGCTTCCCGAAAACAAAGCCCGCTGACAGCCACGTCCAACTATTACCTAATAGTTTGTTCCTCAAACTGTGGCTGCATTTGAAACGTTAAGAGGAGGAACCAATTCCAGCAGGTCCAGATGTAGGACAGCAGGATGGGAAGCCAGCTAATTGGAGATGGTGGCACTTACTTTCTGTCCTTGTTGCCCGCTACGAGCATGTGGGGAGGGCTGTCGTGGAGGTTGACACACGTGAAGTCACCTATGGAGTTGCCCACCTTGGTCAGGCACTGGTTTGTTTCCAGGTTGTAAAGAAGAATCTGCCAGAAAGGGGACAAAACACAGGATGAATTCCTCGTGAGCACGACAAAGAGGTTTTGCTGCAGCACGGAGCGGAGTTGTTACCACCAGAGATGTTCTGCTTGTTGCTTGATATGTAACACGTGATCAGGAGGCAGATTTATCCCTATTAAGAGGGGGATACAACACCCCAGAAATACACCTCTAGTATTCTTAGAGATTTTTAAAGCTTCACTCGTTGCCCAGTCCTCCAGCACAAAATGATCCTCTCCTCTCTCAACTCCACCCTTCAGACCTCTGCAGCTGCACAAATAGGAAATAAATAGGCAGCATCAGTGTCTCTGCTCTGGCAAATGCCGAAATAATACCTACAGATTGTGTAATATCAGGGGGGACACAACCTCAGAAATAAGGGAATTGGGTTTCCCAGTGGAATCCATCAAGGAGCAGGGATGCACCACCAGTGCCACCCAGCAGCAGACAGGGACAGCTCCCAGGCAGTTTCTCCAGGCCAAATCTTTAAAGCCTCTGAGGAAAACCAAACAGTTTCTTCCCCAATTTGAATATCTGAACGAGTAGCAGGAGTGAAGAGCACCAGCACTGAGAAGGTTCAGACAGATGGGCTGAGAGAGGCAGGGCCAGCCAAGTGCAGCCGAAATCGCAGAGCAGAACAGAACACGGGCCCTGCTGAGAGCTGTGCTGCACATCACACAGACCAGGAGGAAAATCACATCTGAAGTGGCAGCTCAGATGGCAAAGGCATAAAAACAACCCTGATTTTAGGCAACATCCGAGATGATTCAACCAGAGCCCGGACGAGAGGGACGAGTTATTCCCCCTCCTCAATCAGTTCCATCATGTTTGCTGTCTTTCCTCTGGGGCCAGATGAGATTTATCTGTTTGGGCCTTTCAATTTAGGAGAAACGAGTATTTTTAGAAGCAGGAAAACGTGCTGGTCGAAGCCCAGTGGAGCTCAGCACTGCACCTGGCCTTACATAACTTCATAAACGTTATTAAATTTCACGGTGATGCTCCTTTCAATTAAGAGAGACCTGTGACCATGAGAGGAGTTAATGGTACTTAAAATATCAGCAGAAACTCATGGCAACATCAGCATGGCCAGGCCAGCCTCACATCAATATCCTTTACTTCTAATTTGCTGGTTATATCCAGTGCAGCTTTAATAAATATTACACAGTCTGTAGGTATTATTTCAGCATTTGCCAGAGCAGAGACACTGATGCTGCCTGGCCTTTTAACTTCCTATTTGTGCAACTGCAGAGAACTGAAAGGTTGAATTAAGGGTTGAATTAAATGAAGGGAGGCTCGTTTTGTGATGCAGGACTGGGCAACAAAAGTGAAGTTTAAAAGTCTCCAGGATTTTTAAATCCAGAGGATTTACAGGTTCCCTCCACCTGCCATTTCTCCCAGCTAAAGAGCAGGCAGGGTTTTATTCAGACATATTATCAGCTCCCTGTTAGGATCAACACATTCACATCCCACTTCCTGAGGCGCTTATAAGATTTGTAATCTCCCAACTAGTCCTTTGTGAACTTACCTGCCTCAAATACCAGTCTTTAACACGTTATTTTTCATCCTTAAGACCCGAAAAACCAAAGCAATTTTTACTCAAGCTCTGTAAAACCAGGAAGGCTCTGTACTTGCAGCGAGGCTTAGGGCATAGAAGTTGCCAAAAAATTCATTTCAACTTGCCCACCAAGGAAAAAAGTTGCTACAAACTGCATGGAAATGTTAATCTTTGAGGTCCAGAGCAATTTTACAGGCTGTTCTCACTCGCAGCCCAGCTCCCAACAGCTCACTAACCAAACCCAGAGATAATGACGTTCTGGCAAAGGGGCCTCGAAGAGTTTTCACTGCAAAGGAAATTAATATCTGGGCCTGGCAACCAAATTTCTCCTTGGAAAGTTCTGAACAAAAGACAAAGTCAATAAAGTGCTGAATTCAACCTAAGAACAATAAGTGACGGGGTCAGCAGCAAAGTATTCCAGCTCCCAGTTGAGCCTCTTCCCAGCTGGACGGAAAAGCTCCGGAGGGGAGAGGGCCAAAAGCTGCTTTCCCAAAAGCCCCCCGGGGCTAATGCTGACAGGGAACATCCAGAAACTATTAATTTACCTAAATGACCACGGCTCCCATCTACCCCATAAACATATGATATGTCCTTGAAAATTCGGTTATGGCCGTGGAAGGCCACAAGGAAAAATTGCTTCCACGTGGCATTTAAAGATCCCCCCGCCCTCCATCGGAGCAAATGTTACACGTTCCCCTCTTTGCAGCCTCGGTTCCAGCCCTGGGGCAAAACTCACAGGTACCACACCAGCTGAAAAATCACTTAGTTCTCCTCACACAACCTGTAGGTGGCCACTAATTTAAAGCATTCGCAGCTAAGAATCTGTAAAAAAGTAAAGCTTCGCATCCACAAAAATGGAAGAAAAGCTTCTGTCTCATCATCTCCTACCCCCTCCAACGCCTTCTCCTCTCATGCCAGCCTCTATTCTTTTAAAGACTGTTCATTTTAACAATCAATAACAGCACTGATTGCTAAAATAAAATTTTACTTTGAATTTTATCACGCTCACGTGTCTCTCTAGCCAATTAGCCCCGTCACTGGAAGATTCTCTTTGTGATCTTCAGGATTTGTCTATCTCGAAATTCAACTTGTCCCCAGTGATTTCATGCTCTGCAAATGAATTTCAACGTGTTTTCGTGGCAAGCTGATAAGTAAAGAAGCAAAAAGCACTCAGGAGTGCCTTTTTTTTTTTTTTTTTGAAGTCTGAATAACGATTTCTTGAAGACAAGGAGTTTAAAAGCACACTGAGGACAATTTTGAAGTTCTGATGAGCTCTCCTATAATATCCCAAGGCAAGAAGGATTTTCTTTACAAAGGCCAAGGAGAAAGAATGGAAATACCTGGTCAATAGGGACTTGAAATAAGGGCCTGTGTGTTAAAGGGCAGATAAAGCCTAAGATCTCTGGGAGGTTTATAATCCTGTAATGCACACTGCAAGGGGATTACCCTTTTAAAGGTATTTATAATCCCATAATGGACACCCAAGACCAGTGACCTAATAGGTACCAAGTGAAGGTAAGTGAACCCAGAGCATCTGGGTGTGAAATGAAGTGTCCTGGGATAACACACTAACGAGATCCCTGCCCCCAGAGGGACCTGGGGGGACACACAGGGGAGAAAAAGCATTAAAGACCCCGGGCAGACCTTGGGGGGACCCCAGGCACGGGATAAAAAGTGTTACCTATTAACCTTGCCCAGATGAAAAGTCGGAGCCCTCGGCCAGGAGCCAACCAACCTCCCAGAATGCCCCATAATTCAAGGAGCCAGGAATAGCCAGAGTACCTCCACCATTATGTTTAGTTAAAGACCACAGAGATTAGAAAACACATTATCCACCTCGGAGGCGATTCTTGCCATGTTACAAGTCCCTTAACGACCTTTCCCATCCCTCCCTCTCCCTCTCTCTCTTTTAATAAGGCTGAGCAAATGGGACTTCATTTTATCCCGTTGCCACAGACCCGTGCTATTAATTATTCATGCTCATACTCTCCCCTTTTGTTAAGGCAGTGCATTAGACTAATTTCCCTCTTCACTGGGTGACTTGGGCGAGGCTCAACCTGTGGCCACTCTCGGACAGACACTCCAAGAAGCTGGAAAATTCACGAGCCAAGGGAAGGGAAGAAAGGCAAAGTTACTGCAGAGCAGTGGGCACGGGGAACTCTCTTTAAATGCTGTCCAAGAACTCCTGAAAGAGGAGGAAAATTAATTCCCGAAGAATGAAAGCCTCTGCAGCCAGAAGAGCTGAGCTGGGAGCTTTGTTACACCGTGCAGCTAAGTGAGGTCAAGCGTGGCCGATGTACTCTGGGTTGAGATACTTCCAAGAAAAACCAAGGAACTGAAGGGAATGCTGTTGATGGAACTCTTCCATGCGTGTCCAAGACCCCAGCAGGTGTTTGGGGATCCTGGGTTGCCGGAGATGTCTTTTTTGGATGGGAACACTGAAGCAACAAATCCCCGAGCGCTCGTTATCAAAGAGCCTGTGGTACTTTCAACAGGAGCAGGGGTGTCCAACCCACCGTCCTGGCCAGGAGCCAGCACACCACTGCTCTGGGGAGGAGCTGCTTTCCCTCTGCAATCCCAGCCCTGCCTTCCTCTCCAAAGTTATGGCACTGCACGGCCAGGGAAGACCGAGCTCTCTCTCAGAACTGGCTGTGTGCTGGATTTGTAGTTCTTATTTAGCTGAAGTATCGAAGGGAGGGTGATAAATGTCAGCAAAAAGTGCAATTGTCAAACCACACTCGAAACCTACATCCTTTTCCTGGCTGAACAGCACACAGGATACATTAAAGAGCCACTTTTTCGGAAAGAATCGTTTAGGACGGAGCTTTCTGTCATTTTAGAGACAGAGGATCAAAATAAAACAAACCCAGGAACAAGCAGCAAGCCTGGGTACAGAATTTACATTTATTTTCATTTATTCTCCCCTTTTCTTTCTGTCCATCCCTCTGCCAACTGGAAAAAAAAAAAAAACATTTCCTGAATACACACAAATATTGCCAGCAAAAGAAAGGGTTGTGAGATTTCAAGCCCCCCCCCCCAAATAAAAAGGGATCCTGTTTTTTTCTCAGATTGAACCCATCCCATTTCAGAGGGTATCCACATGCATTTGTGGCAGAACTCATCAAATTAAATACAACATATGGTACACACTGCTGCAAGTTGGGATTTTTGTATCTAAAGCGAGGCGGAAAAAATAATATTTTTAAAGTTTACAAGGCTCAGGGGCACAGTTTCCCAGTGCAAATGTATTGGATTGCCTACTGTAAATATGGCACATGACACTGCAACAACAACGAAACCAATTTCACTGTTAACAAATGCAGGGTCAGCACGTTGAGACTTGCACCCAGAGATAAGTGTTCTGGCTCCATAAATTTAAAGATGAGCTAAGATTTAAAAGGAGCAGCTGAGGGAGACAGACAGACAATCAGAGAGAAAGAAAAAGAGTAAATCAAACACAAAACAGCCAGTTTGGAAAAAAAAAAATAAATAAAAAAAAAGCAGTTAATATCCATGAATAATGGATGTTTGATTTAAAAGCAGTTTACTCCAATATGATGTAATTTTTGACAATCAGCCAGAGAGACTATTCTGCAGGTTCTTGCCAGATATAAGTCATTGTGCAAGGCTGGTAACACAAGGGCTCCTCTGAGCATGCGGAAAATTGACTTTCATGCCATCCTGGAGGTGACTTTGTGCTGGCAAACCCGGGCTGAGCCGCACCGAGAGCCGAGAGCCGCGCTCGGACCCGCGGGAACAACGGAGCTGGCGGCAAATCCCGCCGGAGAGGCGGCTCCCCGCTCCTCCCCACCTGTGCAGAGTCACCCACGGAGCTGGACACAAGGGGAGGGGGTTGGGTTCTTTCCACTTGGAAGTTTTTCTCCCCCTGCCCCGAGTTCCGAAGTGAGACTCCAAGCTGGTGGGAAGAAGGAGAGCCAAGCCCTGCGCCGGCGCTGCCAAGGCACCTGCAGCCCTCGCCGTTCCAGCGCCGGACACTGCCAGCCCTCGGGATCTGCCAGCCTGGATGGGCTTGGGATGGGCACAGATGTCTGCTAGGACTGCAGTGGGGGCACCAGGCTCACTGCCCTCGTGGCTGGAGGCTCCAGTGCCCACTGGAAGGATGGTGTGTTTACCCACCGAGCCACCCACTCGCGAGGAAAACAAGCCCAGAAATGCATTTCCCCCAACACAGGGGAAAGGAAGAGCAAGGGAGTTATTCAAAAGCAAGGGAGTTATTGAAAAGCAAGGGAGTTATTCAAAAGCAAGGGAGTTATTAAAAAGCAAGAGAGTTCTTAAAAAGCAAGAGAGTTCTTAAAAAGCAAGGGAGTTCTTAAAAAGCAAGGGAATTATTAAAACCTGAATGATTCTCTTGGTTTTGTATCACCTGGAATATTCATGGCCTGTCCTAACACCTATATTTTCCCAACCTGAGATACCCTATGTGCCAGTTTTGAGGCACTCACAGTGTTGTATAAATAGGGAAAAAAAGCAGAATGTCATCCCTGGCAGCCAATGCAAAAGGCATTGATTTATTCATTTTAACTTGCAAAATTATTTCTGGTCATTTACAGGGGTTAATCAATACATCATGTCAAACTCAGGCAAGGGAAAGTTTTGGTCTCTCTGCTGGACTCTGTTCCTTGTAGTGCCTGACACAGTTCAGGTCCTCAGAGAGGTTTGTTTCTCTGACATGATACCAAAGAGTTTATCAAGAAAAAGGTATTTAAAACACCTTTCAACACCTTCAAAGATCTGCTGACACTCTGCAGTCCTGCAGCTCCTCAAAGAGAAACAGTTGGGCAAGTCCCATATGCTCCAGTTCAGTCCTCAGCCCTTCTACCATGAAAACAGGAGTTCATAAAGATTAACTTATTGAAAAAAACCCCACCACCAAACACACTTTTAAAAGAAGAAAAATCAAGATAAAAAATTATTGGAAGTCTTTGGAACTCCCTGAGAACTGGAGACATGATGACATCAGAAAAGACACTGCAGCTTCTCAGTTAAAGAGAAGGATTTTAGTCAAAGTAAGGAGCAAGAAAGATATAACAGCTTATATCAAGCAGCCATGACCTAAATATATCATCCAAGAGAGACTGTAGACAATGAAATTCAATTTAAAGGATTATTTACTGAGGCTGCCCCATCCCTGGGAGTGTCCAAGGCCAGGTTGGATGGGCTTGGAGCAACCTGGGCTAGTGGAAGGTGGCACTGGATGAGCTTTAAGGGCCCTTCCAACCCAAACCATTCCATGATTCTGTGATTTAAGAGTTTATTTAGTTCACAACAGTGGTTAATTCTACTGGATACACTCAAACTGGGAAGCAGTAAAGAAACATTAAACACAGGAGTAAACCTAGGTAGGATTTCAGTGGCTGCTGAGAAGAGCCAGGTGAGGTTCAACACCTTTCATCAAGCCCAAAACCACCCAAATCCTCCCATGTTTATTAACTCTATCACCAAGAACTGCTGAATAGGTTCAAAAATTTGAACTGAATTTTAAATACAGGAAGAAAATCGGGTTTGAGGTTTTCCCTTCCCCACCCCGAGAGAATAAAAATGTCAAGAAACAAATTGCAAGAAATAATCAACCTATAAATGTCAAGAAATAATTCACAAAGCTCACCTGAACTACAGCAGGAGACCAGAGTTACCTGAGAGCAGATGGAAGGTTATAAATACCCCAGCTATGAGAAAAGCTTTGGTCAGAGCCTACAACCAGATTGCATCAGAAATCGGATGAAGTCAATGCTGACATTTATCATGCTCCATGTGTAAGGGGTTTATATTATATTACATTTTATATAGATATATTATTATCCATGTACAAGCCTAGATGGGAACACAGACCTCAGGATTTCCAGAGTTTGGAATTTAAGGGAAACAGTACATTCCATGCTGAGTTAACACAGCTGAAATATTACTGAATTATTGAACTATGATTGAAGAAATTCGCAGCATAACATAAAAAAAGAGCTCCACGAGCAATAACCAGACAAACTTCCAAGAAACAACAACATATTTGGGTTGTCTGATGCTTGAACTTCCCAGAGCTGAAGCATTTCTGTTCTCCCCTCACTCCTGCAAGGATGTCTGCAGTCTGACAGCAGGCAAGTCTAGGCCGTGGATTTGATGTTTTTCTCCTCTCCAACATAAAAGATGCTACGAATTTTATGCCTCAGATCTCGACTCTGCTGTCAGTTTTGGTTAAAATTAGAAAATGATTAAAAAAAAAAGAGAGAGAGAGGGAAGGGTGATGGCTTCCTGAACTATTTTCATCCCAGAGCAGGTTACTAAGGCGGGAGAAGGAAAACAAAGCAAACCCCGGCCTGAGAGGAAACCCAGCCAGCAGCAAAAGGGGGCTGGAATCCTCCACCATCAGGCTTCCAAGATGGAAAGCTCTCCCCAAGACAGCTTGTGAGCTGGTGCCCGGTGTAATCAGCCAGTGCACAGTCCCTTCACGTCTGTGGGAGCCGAGGAATTAGCCCGAGAGACGCTGGTAATTAATTTCCGCCGTGATGTCAGCGGAGCAGCGGTGCCAGGAGAGTGTCCTTGTCACACACATCCCAGCCCATCGCCCTGATTGGGATGCAGGGCTTAGCACAACCCACCCTGGAGGAGTTCAGGACTAAATTAGGAAGGATGTCTGGCCTTACAGAGCAGAGCTTGGGGCCCTGAGGGGGTTTCACAAAGGGGGTGGCAGAGGTGATGCCCCTGAATGAGGCGATTTTGCCTCCTGACCTCCCACCTCTGCAGGGAAAGGAGCTGGATTAGGGCAGCAAAGGAATTAATAAAGACAGCACAGCCTCCTCTCCCAACCCTACAGGTATTTATTTGTGGTGGCCTCCCCGGGGATCGTGCATTTTGAGGGGAAAGGAGATGCAGCTGGACACGTTTGTTCCTCACACAGAGGA